AAATTCACTCACACTCGTCCAACATGTTAGAGCAAACTCATCAACAAAGTAGAGTTTCCAGATTACGCTTCGTAACTTGACTTGCACACTTACAAGCTTACATCTCATTATCTCAACCATAATTGTTTACGAACTTACGCAGTGCTTTTTATTGGCTAATTAAGTCTCATTTTTCGTGTTTGGGTAGAGTTTCGAGACTACCAGTAAATCAGTAACATGACATGTATTCACCCTATTTCGTTTAAGGTGAAGAGGGACTAGTAGTAGAATTTTCCCACAAAGATATGAGTAGAACCGACGTTTTCATTGAATTTCACATCGCCTTACTTTCCCAAAAGTTGTTTTTACCCAGGCTTAAGTGGACTGCAGTTTCGACCTAGAATCGGTCTTAGCAACACCCCCAGCGGGATTCGAACCGTGACAGTGCAGAATGGGAGCGAAAAATAAGTTACGCAGTCGAGTGTTATACCAAACATACGTTCGTAGAAGTGGGTTGACCTCGTTGTCGCAATTTGGTCTTGTTGTCAGGGCGACTATGTAGAACGCACCATAGTAGTTGTCATGATTGCCAGCATCTGACAGTGGACTTGATACATTCTCAAACGTTTCGCCGGCCTCGTAGTCGGCATCATCAGTCAGTTTTGCCATTCTCCGCACCAAGATACGAACTCGTCAAAGAGACTTGTCTCTTGGTGCGGAGAATGGCAAAACTCATTGGTGATACCGACTAGGATGCCGGCGAAATGTTTGAGAATGTATCAAGTCCACTGTCAGATGCTGGGAATCATGACAACTACTATGGTGCGTTCCACATAGTCCCCCTGACAACAAGCACAAGTTGCGACAACGAGGTCAACCCACTTCTATAAATTGAAAGAAGACTGCAACCATAACAGAGGCCACAACATCTTGGTCTTCATTTATTCAAACATACGTTTGCTTCATCGACAATCTCACCAAAGAATATGTTATGGCAAAATGCCTGGCCTTCCTTGAAATTCACATCTGCCATGTGACCTAACGGCACTCGTGGCAATGTGGTCGAGAGTTTAACGTATCAAGCTCCCATCCTGTACTGTCACGGTTCGACTCCCGCTGGAGGTGTTGATAAGTCTCATTGACCAGAACCTAACAAGGCTTTCTTGATCACTCTGATTTAGGGTCGTTATTGTATATAGGCGTTAACGCACGCACACACACACACACGAGCAAGTGTTACATGACCAATATGAAAGTCAATTAGCAAAACCATTCTATGCCTGCACTGTTTCGTCTTTTATTTGTGTGCATATGAGGTAAGATAGAGCCGGATAGTCTTCTTGATCTTGTGTTTTCACGTGAGACTATTCCAAGAATGAATTCCTTCTCTGATGATGCCCAGCATGTGAAAGAGCAAAGCTCAGCCTGTTTCCACCCGAAACGAGTGAGGAGGTCTTGTGGACTGCGTCCACCTGAACATCGTATCAAAGCTAAACGGCTGCGGTACGACGCGATTCATCCGTTCTCTTCTGGTGAGATCGACCAACAA